TGTTTGTGTGGATCAGGTTGTTAATTTCAAGAGTGAATTCTTATTAAGTGCTTGGTCTCAGCTGGGAGCTAAAAAGTATTATTACAAATCACTGAAGATGAAGCAATGCAAAGTTATGTTCTGTAATAGCTTAACTCTTGTTAAATCATTTAAACTTTAAAGAAAGAAGTTGCCAAATACAGTAAAACATTTAGAGACCATTTTGAAACTTTTTTTTAATTTAATAAAAACATTAATAAAGTATAACATAAGGCTCTTTACTACTAATTATCAGTTTATTAAACAATTGTAACAATCTAATGTTGACCATTAATGTATGGCTGGATTTTGATGTTGCAAAGCCTTTAGTATGACCTAAAACAATCTCTTCCTCTCTGATTACAACCTCCTGCGCTTAGTCAATGGCTTCCTCTATAAGTCTGCCTAAATTTCACCTAATTGTAATCAGACAGGTAGATAGATGTTCAGGAGCAGAGTGTTGTATGTCTACTAGACTACACCACATTGGAGTTCCTAACAAACCAATAGCGATACACCACCATGGCTGTTTTGTAACCTATACAACCTTTACAACATACTGAAAATCAGTTTTGTGAACAATTCATATCAGTGTATGTAGTTTATCAGTTAACGTATATGCACAAACACTCACCTTGTAAAACAACCCATACAACCCATACATACAAGTATAAAAACAACCCCCCCCCCCTTTTATAATTGATCACATACCCCCCTCAGATACATAGAGAGCCAGGGGTAGAGAAACAACAGCACATTGGTCATCCCAGTGAATGGCTGTAAGGAGGGGGGGGGGCATGTCAGCACAGGTTTGATCCTTGGAGGAGAGCACACCGAGTTTCCAGCACAGCTATAAAACTGATCACACTAATCTCTCATGCCTAATGTGGTACTTGAGAACAGGATACTTTTTCATACAAGTACTTGGTATAGCAGGCACATATCAGGAATATATATGAAATGGTGGCTTCACAAATTCTTTAAAGTAAACCTCTAAGAAGATGAAATCTTTTTCACAAAAAGCATTTAAAGTATACATGATGTTCCCAATGAAACATGTCCTCTTGCTTTCTGTTGAGACAGGAGGTGATTGGAAATCTCTCTAGTAGAGACACAGGCTACATAAAATTCTTTAGTAAAATGGGGAATGGTAGGACCTCTGTCAGGGTATTATTACTAACTGAGAAGTGTTGGTGAAAAATTTGAACCCTAGTTGAAAAGGTGGTCTTCAAAATCGGATCTAAGTGGTCCTGAACATTGAATGTCAGAGGCTGCTCCCTGGGCTCCACTAGGCCAAAGTGGACTTATGGGATGCCAACTGTAAGAAAAGTAGAAGGAAGAAAGTGTGCCACACAATTTGTTTTGCAAGTCCTGTAGCATGGTGCTCTCTTTCTTCCAGTTTTCTTACACACACACACACACACACACACACACACACACACACACACACACACACACACACACACACACACACACACACACACACAATATTGCCCAAAGTATTGGGACACCCCTCTAAATCATTGGGCTCAGGTGTTCCAATCACCTCCATGGCCACAGGTGTAAAAAATCAAGCACCTAGGCATGCAGACTGCTTCTACAAACATTCGTGAAAGAATGGGTCACTTTCAGAAGCTCAGTGAATTGAAGCATGGTACTGTGATAGGTTGTCACCTGTGAAATTTCCTTGCTACTAAATATTCCACAGTCAAAGGTTAGTAGAATTATAACAAAGTAAAAGCAACTGGGAACAACAGCAACTCAGCCATGAAATGGTAGACCATGTAAAATGATAGAGCAGGGTCAGCGCATACACAGTGCTCAGAAGTTGCCAAATGTCTGCAGAGTCAATAACTAAAGATCTCCAAACTTCATGTGACCTTTAGATTAGCACAACAACAACGTGTAGAGAGCTTCATGGAATGGGTTTCCATGGCCGAGCAGCTGCATCTAACCTTACATCACAAAGCATTGAATACAGTAGTTTAAAGCATACTGGACTCTAGAGCAGTAGAGACGTGTTCTCTGGAGTGAAAAATCACTCTTCTCTGTCTGGCAATCCGATGGACGTGTCTGGGTTTGGTGATTGCCAGGAAAATGGTATGTGCCTGTCTGCATTGTGCCAAGTGTAAAGTTTGGTGGAGGGAGGTTATGGTGTGGGGTTGTTTGTCAGGGGTTGGGCTTGACCCTTTAGTTCCAGTGAAGGGAAATCCTAAAGCCTCAGCATGCCAAGACATTTTGAACAATTTCATGCTCCAAACTTTGTGGGAACAGTTTGGGAATGCCCCCTTCCTGTTCCAACATGACTATTCACCAGTGCATAAAGCAAGGTCCTTAAAGACATGGATAAGTGAGTTTGGGGTGTAGGAACCTGACTGGCCAGCACAGAATCCTGATCTCAACCCAATAGAACACATTTTTGATTAATTACTGCGAGCCAGGCCTTCTTGTCCGACATCAGTGCCTGACCCCACAAATGTGCTTCTGTAAGAATGGTCAAACATTCCCATAGACACACTTCTAAACCTTGTGGACAGCCTTCCCAGAAGAGTTGAAGGTGCTATAGCTGCAAAAGGGTGGGCCAACTCATTATTGAACCCTGCAGACTAAGACTGGGATGCCATTAAAGTTCATGTGCATGTAAAGGCAGGCGTCCAATACTTTTGGCAATATAGTGTGTGTGTGTGTGTATATATATATATATATATATATATATATATATATATATATATATATATATATATATATATAGACATGATGAGAACTTGGACAATAGGAAAATAGATAGGAAAATGTGACACAAGATTCACATTTAGGGTGAATGCAACATTCCAGACAAATGTTTCTGGGCAGAGAAAGCTGCAGATGTGGTTAGCTCTGAATTCTTCAGCTCTGGATTGGAACATTCAATCCTGTTTCTGGGTTTTGCTAGATACCTGAAATCTGGACTACACAGGCGTGAGGTGTCAATATATAGTCAGGTCTGAGAATAGCTCAGAGCTCCCTAATAAACCCCCTAATAAACCAGAGGTGGGCCCTTACAGCAGGGCGCTGTGTCTAAATGCTAGAGAGCCAAGTATCCAGGAGAAGTATTGCAATTAAAGCTGAGTGAGCTTATGAGCCAAGTGGTTTGGCAGTTTCCAGTGTATGGATTTCATGGAATAATTATTTTGTGAACTTTTGCTTTTAAATAAAAGTGGACTACCAAGCCCTTAATATTCGTTCCTATCAGCCGTGAACCAACTAAAACGATGCATCTCCAATGAGAGCTAACTACCCCATATCATTATCGATATGCATAGAGAAAGGTCCCAAATACCACACACCTAACAAAGCTTTGGATGAGGCTGGCTGAGGATGCTGTCACTCTTTCTAGTAGCTTTGCTAGGTGTGCAGTGTTTGGGACCTTTCTCTATGCATATCCACAGTATCTGAGGAGTTAGATGGACTCCTGCCCAGTCAGCACCCATTGCAGGAATCACCGGATGGACTTACAGGAGCTTGAGCAGAGACCTTACATTTTATGACCCCCATGTGCTTGTATGCATGCCTGACAACATCTGGGCATGCTCCTAATGAGATGGCAGATGGTGTCCTGGGAGTATTTCTTCCCAGACCTGGACCAGGGCATCACTGAGCTCCTGGATAGTCTGAGGTGCAACCTGGCAGCGTTGGATGGACCGAAACATGATATCCCAGAGGTGTTCTATTGGATTTAGGTCAGGGGAGTGTGGGGGCCATTCAATGGTATCAATTTCTTCATCTTCTGCACACTCTCGCCCCATGAGGCCAGGCAATGTCATGCACCAGGAGGAACCCAGGACCCACGGCACCAGTGTAGGGTCTGACAATGAGTCCAAGGATTTCTTCCTGATACCTAATGACAGTCAGGGTGCCATTGTCTAGCCTGCAGAGGTCTATGCATCACTCCATGGATATGCCTCCCCAGACCATCACTGACCCACCACCAAAGCAGTCATGCTGAACGATGTTACATGCAGCTTTACATTCTCCATGGCTCTCCAGACCCTTTCACGTCTGTCAAGTGCTCAGGGTGAAACTGCTCTCATTTGTTAAAAGCACAGGGCGCCAGTGGTGGACCTGCCAATTTTGGTGTTCAATGGCAAATGCCTATTGAGCTCTATGGTGCTGAGAAGTGAGCACAAGGCCCACTAGAGGATGTTGGGCCCTCTGAGACACCCTCTTTAATTTTAAGTATGTCCATAATGTGTGTAAGAAATACACTATATTGCCAAAAGTATTGGGACGAGTGCCTTTAATGCCATCCCAGTCCAATGGCATTAGTCTGTAGGTTCAATAATGATTTGGCCCACCCTTTTGCAGAACCAGATTCAACTTTTATGGGAAGGCTGTCCACAAGGTTTAGGAGTGTGTCTATGGGAATGTTTGACCATTCTCCCAGAAGCACATTTGTGAGGCCAGGTACTGATGTCGGACGAGAAGGCCTGGCTCGCAGTCTCCGCTCTAATTCATCCCAAAGGTGTTCTATTGGGTTGAGGTCAGGACTCTATGCTGGCCAGTCAAGTTCCTCCACCCCAAACATGCTCACCATGTCTTTATGGACCCTGCTTTATGCACTGGTGCACACTCATGTTGGAACAAGAAGGGGCCATCCCCAAACTGTTCCCTCAAAGTTGGGAGCATGAAATTGTCCAAAATGTCTTGGTATGCTGACGCCTTAAGAGCCTTTCACGGAAACTAAGGGGCAAAGCCCAACCCCTGACAACCAACCCCACAGAATAATCCCCCCTCCACAAAACTTTACACTTGACACCATGCAGTCAGGCAAGTACCATTCTCCTTGCAACTGCCAAACCCAGACATATCCATAAGATTGCTAGACAGACATGATTGCTCCAGAGAACACATCTCCAGTGACTCCAGTGGCAGAGTGCTTTACACCACTGCATCCAATGCTTTGCATTGCACTTGGTGATGTAAGGCTTGGATGCAGCTGCTCGGCTATGGAAACCCATTCCATGAAGCTCTCCATGCACTGTTATTGTGCTAATTTGAAGGCCACATGAAGTTTGGAGGCCTTTAGTTATTGACTCTGCAAAAAGATGGCGACTTCTGTGCACTATGTGCTTCAGCATGCGCTGACCCCGCTCTGTCGATTTACGTAGCCTACCACTTTGTGGCTGAGTTGATGTTGTTCCCAGTTGCTTCCACTTTGTTATAATACCAATAACAGTTGACTGTGGGAATATTTAGTAGCAAAGAAATCTCATGGATGGACTTAATGCACAGGTGGCAACCTATCACAGTACTACACTTAAATTCACTGAGCTCCTGAGAGCGATCCATTCTTTCACAAATGTTTATAGAAGCAGTCTGCATGCCAAGGGGCTTGATTTTATACACCTGTGGCCATGGAGGTGATTGGAACATCTGAATCCAATGATTTTGAGGGGCGTCCAAATACGTTTGCCAATATAGTGTATCTTATTAATAAGATATTGTTCACACACAGCATGAACATACTTACAATGCCAAAACACATCCTGTTATTACTCTTGCGTGTGGGGGATATATATATATATATATGTATATATATATATATATATATATATATAAGAATTTTTTTCAGTCTAGCGACATAGAGGGGCACAAAATCTAAGGAGCATCTTTAAGCTTCCAAAGGGCTTAAAAGAGTCATTTCATTTCCTGACTACCTATCTCATTTTGGAGACCCAGGAGCACCAGGATAGTAGAAACATCAACAAAATGACCACGTTTTGCAATGCAAACACCCAAAGTATTACACCTTTTTGTAAAATGAAGAAAAAAAAATATTTTCTTTTACACAAAGTTGTCAATGAATTAGAAATCTTTAACCGTCTCACGCCCGTCATATAATGAAATGACGGGTGGTGGCTCTCTCAATCTGGGAGGAGGTCATATGATGTCCTCCAACTCTAACTGCGCATGCACGCCCCCAGGAGTGCACAGCATGGCGATCAGTGGTGCTCTGTGTCCCTGGGACACAGCAGATCACAGTAAAGAGCCGACGACACAAGCTCTATCATGTGATGAGCTGTGTCCAATAACAGCTGATCGCATGTAAACAAGGAAATGTCGGTTATCGGCAGTCGTCTCCTCACACTGACAGCAATTGAGGAGAAGAGAGCCAGTAAGCGGCATTCCTTATCAAGACACTGATGATTAATTCAGCCCCATCAATGCAACATACCAGTGCACATCAATGCCACATAACTGTGCCCATCAGAGCTGCCTGTCAGTGCTGCCTATCAGTGCCACCAATCAGTGCCAGTCAGTGCCGCCTAACAGTTCCAATCAGTGCAGCCTGTCAGTGCCGTCTATCAGTGCCCATCAGTGATGCCTGTCAATGCCCACCAGTGATGGCTGTCAATGCCCATCATGCCACCTATCAGTGCTTCCTCATTTGTGCCACCTATCAGTGCCCATCACTGCAGCATCATTAGCTCACATCAGTGAAGGAGAAAAATGGCTTATTTACAACATTTTATAACAGAAACTAAGAAAAAACTTTTTTCCCCCACAATTCTCAGTCTTGTTTAGCAAAAAAATAAAAAACTCAGTGGTAATTAAATACCACCAAAGGAAAGCTCTATCTGTCTAAAAAAAATTATAAAAATTTTGTTTGGGCACAGTGTTGCATGACCAGACAATTGTCATTCAAAATGCGACAGCACTGAAAGCTGAAAATTGGCCTGGGCAGGGTAAAAGTGCCTAGTAGGCAAGTGGTTAACATGCATTAGCAACATACTTAGAATTACACCCCATAACACATTCTGACACTCCTCCTGAGTATGCGAATACCATAAACTGTATGTGGGACTTTTTGCAACCTAGCCACAAAATTCAAGGAGTACCTTTAGACTTGCATTGGACATAATTTGGGCATTTAATTTCCTGACTATCATATTTGTCGAGGCCTTGGAGCACCAGGACAGTAGAAACGCCCACAAATTGACCACCCACATGTTTTAGGAAAATGTGGAAAGAAAATTAAAATGTACTTTTTTTTTACACAAAGTTGTCAATATCTTTCACAGCATGGGCATATTTTAAATACACCCCAAAACACATTCTGCTACTCCTCTCAATTATGGGTATACCCAATGTGTGAGACTTTTTCAATGTTTGGATTGGTTGTACTGGACATTGTATCTGTTGTATCACAAAAATCAACCAACATTGTATCAAAAACAGTGTACTGTAATGATTGCCTTTGAAGAGTGGTCAGAGAATATAGCTGAGTGTAGCTTTCTCACACAGTTGCCATTCCTATAAGGCAAGCAAGCCTAGCCTAGTGGTGGTACATGGCTGCCCCCAGGAATGTCATATTTACTTGCAAGGAAGTACAGGAGGCTGAACAAGGCATGAACAAAAGAGTTTTTGTTCCAGGAGTGCAGTTGTCCACATGGAATGGCTGAGACTGGTATCTCATAGGAATATAGTCAGAGGGACATGCAGATGGGTCAGTTAAGGGGCAGGCAGAGAAAGGTCAGCAAACAGATAAAGGATCAGTCCAGGCATCAGACAGAAACACGGTCAATAAACAGACCAGGTCAGTACAGGCAGCAGGCAGATGCAACACTGAACTGGTGTGCTGATCAGGAACATTGTTGCTAACTGCACTGCCCATGGTGACACTGTACTGATGTGGCAGCGATCAGGGACCATGTCGATGGGTGTACTGGCTCTAGTGACACTGGGACTGGCGTGGCATTGATCAGGAACATTGTTGCTAACTGCACTGCCCATGGTGACACTGTACTGAGGTGGCAGCGATCAGGGACAATGTCGATGGGTGTACTGGCTCTAGTGCCATTGGGACTGGCGTGGCATTGATCAGGGACACTGTTGGTGGTTGCACTGATCTGGCCACACTGTCACTGGAGACTTGTGTGGCAGTGATCAGGAACACTGTTGTTGGCTGCATTGGGCTGATAACACTGGGACTGGTGTGTCAGCAATCAGGAACACTGTAGATGGCTTACACTGGTCTACTGACACTGGAACTGGTGTGGCAGCAGTCAGGAATAACATTGCTGGCTGCACTAGTCTGGTATGGTGTGACTGATGTGGAGGTGATCAGGCTGCACTGACACTGCTGATCCCTGTGAGAGGAAACAGATTACAGGCTGCAAGCCTTCGTGTATAAGTGTGATAGCTGAGACTAGTTACAACAATCACATGGTACAGTGATGTAGACTAGTAAGAGACTTTGTTTTTCTGCCCCGAATATGCTTTTTGTTTCAGAGTTGATGCCCCACTATAATTAATTTCTCTACTATCTCTTCTAAGTATGCAGACAACAGAGAGAGTGAAGAAATCCATTACAGCTATGTCTGGAAAATAAAAATAATTAGTTTTAGATATATCCTCAATCTCTTATGATGTTAAATACAGGAACCTTTTGGAAACAACTAAATGATAAAGTACTTTGAGCTTTGTGCTGGACCCTTTGCCTCTCTACAACTTAGAAGTGGCCCAATAAGTGGCCCGTTGTATCAGTGTTTACTGTATAAAATTGTTAATATGGCCAGGCTTACTGAAAAATTAAAGGAATGATTTTGTGGAGTTTTTTGTCTATTATTTCACTATTGCTACCCTATTATTCCCTATATAGTAAAAACATTGATAATTTACATATGCTGCCAAAGAAGTGTACCCTCACCATATAATGTAAAAATAACATTACTGGTTAAGATAAACTACAAAGGCAAAACATTATTTAGAAGTAAAACAAATACATCTCCAAAACAGAGTTAATTGAAAAACATAATTTATTTTTGTATTGTTATTTTTACATTTCTTTTAAATTAGCATTGCCCATATATTTAGAAGACTCAAGTCTAAGCTGGCCTTCCTTATTGAAAATAATGTAAAGACCATTACAACTGGAACATAGTCTCAAGGTATTTCTGCGACCTACCTTTTCTAGTCTAATATACAGGTGAAACTCGAAAAATTAGAATATTGTGCAAAAGTTCATTTATTTCAGTAATGCAACTTAAAAGGTGAAACTAATAGATGAGATAGACTCATTACATGCAAAGCAAGATAGTTCAAGTCGTGATTTGTCATAATCGTGATGATTATGGCTTGCAGCTCATGAAAACCCCAAATCCACAATCTCAGAAAATTAGAATATTACATGCAATCAAAAAACAAGGATTGTACATAGAACAATATCGGACCTCTGAAAAGTAAAAGCATGCATATGTACTCAGTACTTGGTTTGGGCCCCTTTTGCAGCAATTACTGCCTCAATGCGGCGTGGCATGGAAGCTATCAGCCTGTGGCACTGCTGAGGTGTTATGGAAGACCAGGATGCTTCAATAGCAGCCTTCAGCTCTTCTGCATTGTTCGGTCTCATGTCTCTCAACTTTCTCTTGGCAATGCCCCATAGATTCTCTATGGGGTTCAGGTCAGGCGGGTTTGCTGGCCAATCAAGCACAGTAATCCCACGGGTATTACCCTGAGGGTATTACCCTGAGGGTAAAGGGTTGGGCTAGGTTCACATGGGCAGAAGAAGGTATAAGGGAAGCCCAGTTGGCACAGCCTTTACCAGGTACACAACACCACTGTCAAACACCCTGCAATCTCCTACTGCCATTGTACCCTTCATACTCCTCTTCTGCTTTTTTGTCAGGTTTCCACACTCCCTTTCTGCATATAATACCCACTTTCCTTTCCTCCACATTCTTCTCCTGCACATACTGCCCCCCATCATATACTGCACACTTCTCTCCTGCTGGCTGTGCTCATTTCTTGTGCGTGCAACCACAGCACACACCTAGACACACAAGCACTTCTTCCACAGATCCTGGGGCCTGATGGCTTATTGTCAGGACTGGAGCGGTGGAATGGATAGGCAGGCTTTATGGTAAGGTCATGCACCGACTGGCGACAGCCTCTGGTGACCCACAGACCGGAGTCCCTCAGGGTGCAGAGTCTAAGCCCCAGGCTGCCCTTCACCAGGGCCCCTGATGGTGGGGATGGATTTGACGCAGCCTGAGACCAGGTCATGACCCCAGCTTCGGTACGGCTGCCTCCAATGGCGTGTAGCGGGTAGGGGCCAGATGGAAAGACGTATAGCATGGTCGGACAGGCCGGGTCGATAACAGCGGAAAAGACAGTACAAGACGGTAGGCAAGAATACTCAGGTCACGGGCCGGGTTAAGCAACGGGAGGTCAGGTAAGGGGATAAAGCAGAGAATGGTCAGAACGGGCCAAGGGTCAGAGCAAGAGGAGTCTTTGTCAAAGCCGAGTCGGTTTCCAGGAGAGCAACGAGAGGTGAACAAGAGCTTGCTGTAATGCAACATACAGGACACAAATGCAATGAA